CGTGTTATAAAGTTTGTCTGGTCATAGTTGGTATACTGTATTTATATCGTGTTACAAAGTTTGTCTGGTTATAGTTGCTATACTTTATTTATATCGTGTTATAAAGTTTGTCTGGTCATAGTTGGTATACTGTATTTATATCGTGTTACAAAGTTTGTCTGGTTATAGTTGCTATACTTTATTTATATCGTGTTATAAAGTTTGTCTGGTCATAGTTGGTATACTGTATTTATATCGTGTTACAAAGTTTGTCTGGTTATAGTTGCTATACTTTATTTAATCGAGTTATAAAGTCTGTCTGGTTATAGTTGCTGTACTTTATTTATATCGTGTTATAAAGTTTGTCTGGTCATAGGTGGTATACTGTATTTATACAGGTAGAAACCGGGTTTCGATACCCGTAATGGGCAGAGCACAGATGGCCCTTTTGTAGCTTCATGCTTAATAATAAACAACAACTATCTTTCTCTTTGCACTATATCAACATATTTTGTAATTAAAAACAATGGGCTATGTGTACGCTACGCACTGCGGGTATTAAAACCCACATTTTATCGCTGTAAGCCGATTTACCGATGAACCACGGGGGACTAATTAAAAACAATAAAACTATTGTTGATTTCATACATGCATGGTATAAATGTACTGAGCATTGGTAATTGTAGTTCTAGTTGATTCAGACCATTGAAGCTTGATCTTATGAGAAACGTTTAGTTTTATACTTAAATCACCAAAACTCTTGTTTCAGTGAATGGCCAGTAAAGTGTCAATATCATTCAAATAGTTTTCAAGTTTCAACATGGCTATAAGAAGAGATGAATTTAGAAATAAACAGTGAAAAATGAGCACAAATTTCAGCTTTATATAAAATTAGAAAATTAAACTTCTCAAACTTAAGTGATTCGAGTGACGGCAATTCAAAACATTCCAAGAAACGCAGAAATACAAAAGAACTGCAAGAAATTATCCTACACGGAATTTTGTATCCAGATATCCTAATATTTCTCTAGTGAAAATGATCAAACGTTTAGATTTTGCTAAATATCACAAAAGTGGAATAAAAAATGGTACGAAACAAATAACGAGTGAGATATTTTAAAACTATAGGAGAACATTAATGGAGAGACATGACCATGAGAAGTTCCAGCAAGAGTGTGTAAGTAAAACATGGCAGCGGCTTTGTAACAGTATGGATATGTTGTATTGCTGTTGCATGAGTGAGAGATACTGTCAAAGTTAGCGGTATTATGGAGAGAGAGAGAGCAGTATCCTAACATCTTTAACTAGTATCACAACATCTTTAACTAGTATCCTAACATCTTTAACTAGTATCACAACATCTTTAACTAGTATCCTAACATCTTTAACTACTATCATAACATCTTTAACTAATATCATAACATCTTTAACTAATATCATAACATCTTTAACTAGTATCCTAACATCTTTAACTACTATCATAACATCTTTAACTAATATCATAACATCTTTAACTAGTATCATAACACCCTTTAACTAGTATCATAACATCTTTAACTAATATCATAACATCTTTAACTAATATCATAAAATATTTAACTAGTATCCTAACATCTTTAACTAGTATCACAACATCTTTAACTAGTATCCTAACATCTTTAAATAATATCATAACATCTTTAACTAATATCACATCTTTAACTAGTATCCTAACATCTTCAACTAATATCATAACATCTTTAACTAGTATCATAACACCCTTTAACTAGTATCATAACATCTTTAACTAGTATCACAACATCTTTAACTGGTATCATAAAATCTTGAACTGGTATCCTAACATCCTTTAACTAGTATCATAACACCCTTTAACTAGTATCATAAAATCTTTAACTAGTCTCGTAACATCTTTACCTGGCTCTGGCTTTCAATTTCAGCAGGATAATGATCCAAATCATACTGCTCTACAGAATAATAATAAAAAAAGTTATGAAATAGCCAGCCAGCTCAATGTCCCGTTGGCAATCCACTTAAAAACTTATAACATCAGTTGAAAAGTAACGATGTAAAAGCAAAGCCAACGAATCTATGGTAACCTTGGGAGATCGCACAGCAAAAAGCAGAAAGGAAAATATAAGTTGGTAATCTGGAATAAAAACTGTTAGTGTTCATGGCTGATCTATATCGTCATATAGTTAAAGTTAGATCAGAACATTTAAATATTAATATTTGAATTATTTATGTTCCGAAATGAACTTCTTATGCCCAGTACTGGAATACTGAGTATAAATATATAATTTACACCAAAGCGTACATTCCTTGAGTACTGATAACCCGGACTATGACCTTTGACCGACACTTCTTATGTTCTAATATATTTAAAACATATACATACATGAGCGTATTTCTAACTTATACTTAAAATGGAGGCACACTGTTGGCTGAAGACGATTCTTAAGTATAATATCTAATACAGTTTTACTGTATGTAGATATCTATGTTTGTCAATATTATATATATATATGTACATAGAAAGAAGTTTTCCATCCGTCTGTCTAGTGTCAGAAGGTATTGTTAGGAACTGATTGAATCAGTTTTGATGAAATTTTATAGAATAATTCAGATTGACCTCAAATGATTGAGTTTAATGGATAAGCAATTGGGTGAACGGCTCCATTTTGGCAGCCATTTCAATTTTACCGTCTTAATGCAGCAAATGTGTGCTCAACTGAACGAGGAGATCGGTAGCAAAATATACGAACTCGACGCCAACCGAAAGTGACGTTTAGGGCTGCTCATAACACCGGTACTTTTCATTCGGATGAACGGTTAATGTGCTGTGGCTCAACACAGCGGAAGGAGGCAGCCGAAGCCCCCATTCCTAACATTATGTGTTTAATTCCAGTTACCTTTCCTAGTACAGAGGTATAGGTAGGTAGACAGATAGATAGATCAAAACTTTATGTACAACCAAAATGCCCTTCCAGCACTTGCCACTTTTCTCAACGGCAAAAACCAAAACACCTATAGTTTATACACAACTAAAATAATATTCTATAAAAATGCTTTATTTATTTTACTTTTTCAGTTCTTAGAAATAAAAATGAACTTCCGAAGCTATATACTGCCGTTATTAACAAGTAAATTAATCTATATCTGAACTTCTGGCTGACTTAAAGTTCTGTTACTAACAGCCTGATTTATTAGGTTTTAACAAAACTTTCCGTAAGCTCGTTATTTCGCGGAACAAAATAGTGGAATTCAAATTCGGTGACGAGGAACCCACTTTGAGACTAATAATGGTTGGAGACGGCTTGAATGGGGGATGATGACAAAACCTTGTCGAAACGTTGTACATTTGCTGTCATGTTAAACTTATATTAA